AGGTGAAAGGGACAGGTCATTATGCATGCAGGTGAGGCACACAGGTTCTTAGGAGGAGCCCAGTTTTTGGCTTCTTTGAGTTGTATGGTTTTGAAGCCTGTGAGAGACTATGGGAATGTTCACTGCTCTGACATCACCTCCACCATCACCAGCTTAAGTCTAGGATTTTTGTTCTTATCCCTCAGGAGCTCCTCCTGCTCCCTCTCTTTCACTGCTCACCCCACCCCACTTCAAAACTGGGTCACTATGTTAGTTGAAAAGAAAGACTGTATTGGGTTAAGGAAGGGGGTCTGGCTTCTCTGACCCTCCCCTCCCCCAGAAAGAATTACAAGGGTTTTGGTGTAGGCAGAAGGGATAGAGAGAGAGAGATGGCATGGATAAGGTAGGGATGGACTGTACATTTCCAGAAATGGAGGGTCAGAAGCTCCTCTTCCCTTTCTTGCTCCCTGCCCCACCCCAACTGGTGAGATTTATCTCAGCCTTGCATCACAGGTAAAAGCTAGAGAGGAGAAGAGAAGGCTACAGTGAAAGGACACCAGTATGGGGTATAGGGGGTGGGGAGGATAAGGCCAGGGGAAGAGGAAAGGAGGGCATATGAGGAAGGCAGGATCCAGAGAAGGCAGGATGGGAGTAGGAATTGGTACAAAAGGTGTAAGTCCAGGGAGAAAGGAAGATACCATTAGAAGACGGAGAAAAAAGCTCAGAGTTGAGAAAGGTGAGATCTTTCTATCTCATTGACATTTCTGAAGGACACATTTCCATCAGTCAGTCAATAAACATTCATTATTTACTTACTATGTGACAGATACTGTGCTAAGTGCTGAGGAATATAAAGATAAGCAAACACAGTCTTTGCCCTCAAGAAGCTTACATTTTAGACAGGGAGACAACATGAAAAAAATAAGTAGGTACACCCACTTCCACGTGTGTGTGTGTGTGCGTGCGTGTGTGTGTGTGTGTGTGTGTGTGTGTGTGTGTATACAAATACACAGAGGAGATGTAAGGTAACCTGGGAAGGAGGGAGGTTACAGCAGCTCTGTGGGGACAGGAAAAATATTCTGTAGAACATGGACTTTGAACTGTCTTGATGGAAGCCAGGGCAACTGAGGCAAAGGTAAAGAGGGAAATAATCCAAGGCAATTGTAGACAGCCAGTACAAAGGCTGTCCCCACAGAAACTGGAGAAGGTGTCATTAGGCCAGTGTGATTGAAATTTAGAGTGTGTAGAGCTTAAGAAGACAGGGAAGGTGGTTAGGGACTAGATTGTGAAGAACTTAAAATGACAAGCAAAGAAATTTATATTTGATCCTGGTGGAAGTCCAATTGTTCTCACCAGTGATATCCCTCTTCTCCTCTTTTTAAAGATCTTTTAGGCAATTCTTGCTCCATGGTTTTGATGCAAAAGTTGGAGAAACTGTGGAGAATGGGAAAACCTCATTGGATCTGTCCCAGATGGAAGCAGCAACATGTTATCTGTCATTGCAACATTTCCATGTTTATTTTATATTCTAAATGGAAACAAAAAGAAGCACAATGTATTCCCCACACCTCCCTATAGTACTGTGTGACCAGTGAATACGTGAGATCACTTTAGAACAGGGTTCTCTAAGGACTTCAGTTAAATAACTTGGAAGGCGTGCAAGACAGTGCCCAGTGGTTTTACAGACATGGTCATTGTCCAGTTTAAAAGGAAATATCCTTGACTTTATGTCTTGATGACTTGACTTGATAGATACCTTTACAAAATTTAGTCTTATTATTTATGCCAGCGTTTGAACAAGATGACTTCTAACATTATATAATTTGAAGTCACATTTCATATGGGGAGGTCCAAGGGTATGTCCTAGATAAACTCCAGTCCCCTCTTTTTCTTCCTTTGTAGAGGGTTCTGTCCTTTTTATTCTTTCTCCCAGGTCCTGTGATCTTCCCAAATACCTTTTCCCTCTAGACCCTTGAGATTCATCTCACACTTCAATAAATGTTATTACCCCATTTTACAGTTGAGGAAATGGAGGTATAGAAGAAGGCATAGGTAAGGTCACAAGGGGAAATGGGGCCCAGAACCCTGAGCCCATCTTACAGGTGAGGAAATGGAGAGGTATGGTTAAAGTCACAAGTGAAGAGGAAATGGAGCCCAGGACCCCAAGGCTATACGCCTCACCCAGTAGAGACCCTAGCAAATGCCCCATCAGATGAGTGTCACGCTGGAGAATACTTCAGTAGCATAGGAGCTGTCCCTGGGAGAAAGAGCCCCCAGGGGGAGTTTGCTGCCAGATTTGAGCATGAGTCAGGAAGGGACTGGAGGAAGTTGACCAACCTGGGGTGGTGAAACCAGTCAGTCCCCATCCTGCTCCAGTGCCCCACATGTTGCAGGTTGGGTTATAAAGCCTCTCCCACCCCAGCGCTCAGCACTTCTGCAGCCTCCTGCACAGCTTTCCCTGGCGAACACTGGTAAGTCTTAGCCAACTGATCCTGGGGGCTTCAGGGTGGGGTTCCTTCCATTGTGGTTAACTTCATGGCCACAGAACTCAGGAAAGCCTGGCTGGAGATGGTGGAGGGGAGGGTTGAACAGGTTATGAATGCTCTCCAGCTGTATCCAGATGTGTTTCCCTGTCTCAGTAATGTATACTTAGCCTGTGAATCTCTGTCTCCATGCTTAGAGAAAGGAAGGGATAGCACAGATAATCCAAAAACATATGACAGTCTATAATAATATTTTTGGCCTAGAAATGTAGTCTATGGTAGGGTGAGGCAGGTGGGAGGAGGTGGTGGGACTGCATCCCAAGCCTGGGATCTGGGAAGAGGTGTGTCAGCAATCCCTTTGTAGGAATAGAATTTGGGGTGTGGGGGATTGGAGTGCTAAGATCATAGGATCATAGATTTAGATCTGAATAGGATCCTACGGGTCATCTAGTTCAAATTCCTCATTTTACAGATGAGGAAACTGAGGCAAAGAGAAGGTAAGTGAATTGTAGAGCCAGAATCCTAACCCAGGTCCTCTAACTGCAAAGCTAGCAGACTTTTCATACACAATGCTGAATGGATTTTATCCAGTGGGTAGAAGGCTGGTTTATTCTGGATCTCAGGTTTAGGAAAGGAAGAATCTCACAGGGTAGGATCTTTCTCTTTCATTCCTTTTCTCACACTCCCATTTCACCCCTAATTGTAGTGGTATTGGTTATTAAAGGAGGTAATACATTATATGAGGCAGCTAGGTGGCACACTGGATAGAGCACTGGGCCCGGAGTTAGAATTTAATTTTTTAAATTAATTTATTTTGATTTATCAACAATCACTTCCATAAGCTTTTGAGTTTTAAATTTTTCTCCCCCTCTCTTCCCACCTCCCTCCCCAAGACAGCATGCAATCTGATATAGGCTATACATATACATTCCTATTAAACATATTTTCACATTAGTGGTGTTGTAAGTAAGAGTTAGAACCAACAGGAGGAACTACCGGAAAGAGGAAACAAAACACAGCAGAAGGAAAAAAAAGCGAATAGTGTGCTTCAATCTGCATTCAAACTCCATAGTTCTTTCTTTGGATGTGGATAGCATTTTCCATTGGGCCTGGAGTTAGAAAGACTTATTTAGGGAATTCAAATCTATCCTCAGAAACTTACTAGCTTTGTGACCCTGAGCAGGTCACTTAACTCTGTTTGCCTCAGTTTCCTCATCAGTAAAATAAACTGGAGAAGGAAATGGCAAACCTCTCCAGTATCTTTACCAAGAAAATCCCAACTGGGGTCATGAAGAGTTGGACACAACTGAAAAAAGACTGAAAGATAACAAAAATGTATTCTATCAGAAAGAGGTAGATTAGAATAGAGTGCCTAGATCCAAATGAGACCTTGGAAAAGTCATTTATCTCATCTGTAATATGAGAGGGGTGGCCTACATTTCCTGTAACTCTAAATGCATGCACTTCTTTCAGGGCAACCCTTGGAGGGCCATTGATCTACTCTGTGGTTAACAAAGACTCAATCTCCAGGGATTGGGCAGCTATAGGGTACAGTGTATAAAGGAGTCAGCAAGACTTGAGTTCAAATTCCTCCATAGACACTTAGGAGCATATGGTTGTTGCGAGGATCAAATGAGATGACAAATGTAAAGTGCTTTTGCAAGTCTTAAAGTCTCCAGGGCCCAGGGTGCTAACTTGATATCAGCAATATGGATTATCACCAAGCTACAAAATTGTCCCTCTCCCCACCCCTAACCATAAGCCTAAGCCACTGGCCTCTTCCATTTTCAGGAGAATGGTAGAGCTCCTCACTTCACAGTGAAGTGCTTTATAAATGAGAAGTCAGGTGCTGCCTGTGGTTCCTGGTTTCTAACCTCTCAACTAGGTCCTGAGCCCCTGTGGTAACTTTAATATTTTTTTTCTTAGGTAGAATTAACATCACCTCCAAGATGTCTCATTATCAGCACAAACAGCCCGTGAGCCTTCCCCCTGCCTTTAACCAGGAGCAGTGTAAGCAGCCCCTGCCCCAGATCCCTGTCCCTGTCCCACAGGAACAAGTGAAGCAGTCCACACCAGTACCTGCGCCATGCCCAGTGCCTGAGCAAGTCCCAGGCGTGCAAGAAGAGCCTGTGAAGAGAGTTCCTGTTCTTATTCTACAGCCACAGCAGAAAGGAGATCAGCAACTGGAACAGCACAGGGAACATAGAGAAGAGCAGCAGCTGGAAGAGCAGCTGGAGCAACAGCTAGAACATAAGCAAGTGGAGCAGCTGGAAGAGCAGCTGGAGCAACAGCTGGAAAATAAGCAAGAGCAGCTAGAACATAAGCAAGTGGAGCAGCTGGAAGAGCTGGAAGAGCAGCTGGAA